GGTTCTGTCCGCGCGGGCCCCGTCGGGAGCGAGGGAGGAGGGGAGGGGAGAAAAAAAAAAAAAAAGAGTCATCGGAGTCATCGCTGCAACTTCGGGGTGCGTGGATGAGTGTTGTGCTCGTATTACTTAACCCTCGCGTTCGCGTGCTCGGTGGTACTAGCTTGACGTTCCTGAGGTTCTAGGTTCTGGGCTCCTCACGTTGCCTCCTGGGAGCAGCACCTGAATGGAAGGGGCACTCAAGCTCACGGAGAGCCAGTGCCCTCCTCTTCCTCCAGCAAGCCGCTGCCAGCCTCAGGTAGAAGGAAACGGAAGAGGATTAAGGGAGGTGATCTCATTCCGATGGTCTTTCACTAGCGCGCGATGCAAGTAATTGTCTTGGACTTGCCCGTGAGGTCGCACGAAAACGCCTTGGCTTAAAAAAGAATCCGTTTTGTGGTTAGCTGAATGCTGCGTTCTTTCCTCTGGAGGTATCGGCTATTGCTGCATGATGTTTCAGGGTTGGGCTTTGACTGCGTTAAGGCTGCGTTGTGCTACTTGCCTGCAATCCAGTCAGCTACTGAACAGAAGGTGAGAACGTTGCATTCTCACCATGGCAGCCCCTAGAGACCTTTTGCATTGCAAAAAGAACAGCTGGGGAACCTGCCCCCTACAGTTATGCAGAGTCCTTGTGTCCCTCAGGCAGCCAGCAGTGTGTCAAATTAGGCCATTCTAAACTGTTCGCTAAAATCCTTCAGCTGTGGGACACCTAGGAAACCATGGCAGCTATTCTTCAGTTCTCACTGAACACTTTTTCAGTGATAACTTGGACTCTTTGGCAGTGTGTCTCCCCATTATGGGTTGACTTTTGTTTTGACAAGTACTAGAACACCCTGCAGCTTGAGAGGCCTAGTGGAGGGTACTGATCTAATAGTGAAAGTGATAAATTGCAAGCTTTCTGAACCTCTGACGATCTTTGAGTCGTGCCATAGCACGTCCCTAGACGTTTGTTGGAGTAAGTTAAACTGTAGCTGAATGAGTCATTCCATGCTGTCATACTTGGGCAAGATCTTGAATTCCAGCGTGAGTCCTTCTTGAGGTTCTTTTTTTCATCTTTGCTATTTCCTACTTTGAATTTCCCTTCTTTCTGTGACACAAGGTGAACCGTAGGGGTCAGCCTTCCAGCTGAGTTCCAGCAGGGCAGACGCTTATCTGTTGCTTCTATGTTGTTGGAGGGTGCTGTTGAGGTGGGCGTAGAGAGGGCGTGAAGAGCAAGTGCTTTACCAGTACGTCGTTCGGTGACATGAATTTTCTGTCAAGCTACTGGCTAGGTTAGTGCTCAAGTTAGTACATATGTATCCCATCTCCTCTCCAAGTTCTTGAGAATTTTTGTGAGGAAAACAGATGTATAGCATGTGTTATTAAGGATAAGCTGGGAGAGCCACCCCAGCCCCTGTACAAACTCCCCCTCACTGTCCACAGTCTTTCTCCCAATAAAAATGCTGCAGGAGGAAGTATTTGCTCACCAGAGGATGAATGCAGCCCCCCTGTTGGAGGGTGTCTAGATAGGACAGGACAAGAGAGTCCATTGGCTGGCTAGCTTTTGTTACTGCATAGCGTTTCCTTCTCAGCAGAACTGTGGAGGTACAGGGTAGTTACGGGAAACAAAAGAGTAAGCAGAAAGGCAGCCTACTTGCTTAAAAGCAGTCAATTTAGCTTTGCGATGGGGTTGTCAGCTTGGCTTTGAGATGGGGTTCGCAAAATAGACTCTGTCAGGAAACCTGAGGTGGCTTTTAGCTGCTCAGAAGGGAAAAAACAGATTATAATCATGGACAGCGGCAAAGCAGTTTCTGTGGTTGATTGGGAAACCAGCTTTCAAAAACAGATGTCTGGAAGGTAACTCGGGCAAAGACAGTTCAGACAGCATTAAGCTTTGCAGGCGATCACAAAATAGGGTGGGGAAGACCTGGGGGGTGAGGAGGTCTCTCTGGATGAATAATGATTAACCAATGAACCAGGACTACTGGTGTCCCTTCAGACACAGTGCCGCTTGCCAATGCCTCTGTGCCAAGTCATTAGGAGTCACCAGTATTGGGAAGGTCACTGGCTCCAGAGTTGCATAATAGGACTGATCCCTTGGACCTCTCTGTGGCTGGAATGCCTCTCTGGGGAGATTTTTCTTGTTACTTAGCAGGTTTATTGGCAGCTGTGATAGGGAACCCAGCTTAGAGCAAAAGGAGGTTACCTTACTCTCTCTGGGTTCCTTGATCTTTATCCTGATACTTCTAAGACATTGAGAGGATTGCAAAGTTGTTTAAGTCTAGGGCTGGGATATAAGCTAACCTTATCTGTACCTGTGTGCCTTGCTCTCCTGACCTTGGGCTGCTCACTGGGTATCCTCGACCAAGGTGGATCTGTCTCTTGAACTTCTGGACTGGGGAAACTGTGAGCACAAGTTCCTAGAAACTTCCTTTGAACATATCAAAGATGCACCCCTAAATCCTTTTTCCTTGCCTACAAAGCCTTAAGCGCGCCCTTTCTAACCAGTCCCGATCCACCTTTTTAAATTACATAAAAAATCTTACACTCACCCACCCACCCCTGCGTGCACTCACACCCTTCTGCCTTTAAGTTGGGAATCAGCAGTGCCCCCCACCCTGCAATTAAGGAGATGTAATAAATTTTCCTTAGGGAAGGGTGCGAGCAAAGTAAAATGACATAGCAGCACTGATTGCACAATAGCAATCCAATTATGGTGCAATACAGGTGGAAGGGATTTAGCATGCCTTGTATTACCTTTTGCAATGCTAATACTGCTTAACCTGGAGATTAGAAAACTTGTCGATGCTAGGGAGCAACGCTTGACTCTTTGTTAAAAGCGTTCATCTCTTCAAATGGCAAATGTTAAGATTCAAGTGTGGAAGATCTCGCTGTCTTGGGAGAGAAGAGATGCGGACATTGAGCTTTCAAAAGTACTCTCAGCCTAGCTGCAGTCACTGGGAGATATTTTCAAATGTCACCTGTAAGCTAGATACTGCGAGGGGTTGTTCTGCTCCACTCCCCTGTATCCTCGCTCTATGCCCTGCTTAAAAAAAGAGTCTGCTTTTGTAGGAGGGGAGCTTGGGGAGTGGAAGCTAGGACATCTTTTCCTAGGTCGAGGCAGTCTGGCTGCAGTATTTTGGACTGATTTTCTTTGTGTTCAAGATAGTCTGTAGATACTTGCATTCATAAATAGATGGCTTACTCCTGTAAGTATTGTCTGTTCTAAATTGCCACGATGGCTTTTGCTGTAGAAGTTAAACACTTTGTGTTTAATGAATGTGCCTAAAACCTCATTTTGTTAAGCCCAGAATTGTTGGTATGCAGCTGAACTTGATTCATTTAAACCTGCTGTTTTGTGACCTAAAAATGTGATGGAGATGGTCACAGGTTGCAACTGATAGAAAACGTGTTGACAACCTATGATCTAGCTTTTGCTGGTGTTTTACATGGGATTAAAATTAGTCCAAGCGATGACATGTGACTAACTGGACTGTGGGACTTCTATCAGGTGTATCCAAATTGGCACTGGAAAAAGCAAAAAAAAAAAAAAAAAAAAAAAAAAAAAAAAAAAAAAAAAAAAAAAAAAAAAAAAAAAAAAAAAAAAAAAATACAGTTTTCATGCCAAGTACTTATGTACGTGTCCTAGCTTAAACTGTGGTCTTGAAATTCCTTCCCATTAACTGATATTTTTGCTTTCTTCAGAATGTGTTCAACATGGTTGTGGAAGTACCTCGATGGACAAATGCTAAAATGGAGGTAACTGGATTAAAATTCCTACCCGAAGTATTCAAACTGATTAGTGTATTAATTGTTGGCTTTGTTGAGTCTCTCCTCCTCACCCCCGCTTCCACGTTCTGAACAAGGGTAGCCCGACATTTGTGGCTCCATAGCTTGCAAGAAAATAATTCATCCTTGGTAAATAAGGCCTTTCAAAACCTGCCCTACTGCAGATGTTGTGTCAAGCAAGTTGTCGAGACTGGGTGCCTACTCCCTATGTAAATATATACTTAGTACTAGAAGCAAAATATGGAGGCTGAGACTTGCAGAAGTCGGAATGATTTGATTTTCTTCTGTGACTTCTGATTAAAGCAGCATCTGAAGGGTCTCAACCCCATGTCTGGTTGTGACATTGATAAGTCTGCTGAAAACTGAATCTTGGGAGCTGGCAGTGCAGCAGGAAATGTCCAGTATTTACTTTTGGTCTCAGTGATAGCTCTTGGCCTCCTGGCTTGTCAAGTAGCAGTCAACTTAAGAAAACCTAAGCAATTTTTCTAAGCAAGCAAAGAAAAGACAGATTAATGCAATTTTTCTTCCAGATCGCAACGAAGGATCCCTTAAACCCAATTAAGCAAGATGTGAAGAAAGGAAAGCTGCGTTATGTAGCTAACGTGTTTCCCCATAAGGGTTACATCTGGAATTATGGAGCCATCCCTCAGGTACTGCAGTGAGTCTCTGTGGCTCATTTTTTCTGGTGGGGAGCAAGGAGGGTGGCTGTGTATCGGCCACCGAGGCCGTCTTGATAGGCTTGCATGCGTCTCTGATTACTACCGGGTTAACAAGGGAGGTCAGCTGAGAGTCTGATGTGTAATATAGCATTTGCAACTGCATGTATAATCTTGCTAATGAGAAAACTTGTCAGGAGAGCAGTCATAAGTATAAGCAGAAATCTCAAGAGGTAGGCTTACAGCTAATACTGTAAACAAGCTGTTGGAAAATTTAAGGGTGAGCAGCTGTTGTTATTGAAGTGCCAGCTGTGTCACTTCTCTGCTCGACTTTGGCCACTTAACAATTCAGTTGGACAGTAGCTTACAGGTCCTTTCCTTTGGATGAAGGAAGCTTCCTAACGGACATCTGGCAACACAATATACTCTGTTCCTGCTTGGTAAAGCATTAAGAGCCAAAGTTTTAAGCTGATGGTACAGGGTCTAGGTGTACAGCTCCTAAGCTGACTCTTTACAAGCGAAATAGCTGGTCATTTTGGACTTTGTGGACAATGAAAGCCTGAATAGACCTGAAGACTGTAATCCTTTCCAGTTTCTGGCCCTCTTACTGTTCAGAGTCTGGAAAACCTCTAAAATTCACGGCGTGACTCATGTGTTGACCTGCTGCACTGTGATAGATGCCCGGTTCTCGGCGTTGGGACTGAGTGGCAGAAAGGCGCTCTGAAGTCCAGAGACTGCGTGAGGCAGATATCTGCAGTTGCGCAGACAGACTTTCTCTGGCACAGCTGCCCAGAGGGACCAACAGAGATGGTAACACCTCGAAACAGTGCTCTTAATTGACTAGTGTCTGCTGGGTGCATAGAAACTTTGAGCAAGGGTGTTTGCCTCTGATGCCCTTCAAGGCTTGAGGTTCCTTTAGGGAAGTAAATTCCATCAGTGACAGTGGAAACACTGAATTTTCTAATTGTGGTCTTGTTAGCAGTACATATCAAGTGTTTTCTCTAAACGTCTCCCATAGCTTCTGGATGGAGGACTCTAAATAGTTGTAGCTTTGAAACAAACATAGGAAGTACGCGTACATCTTCTGCTAAAGGTAATGAGCAGCAAATACCCCAGTCTATATCCTTCTGAGCAAAAAAGCATTAAGTGAAATCCAGTCGGATCTTCTCATCACTCTTAACAAATACCGGGAAAGGGAAGGCTTCAAGACCACGTCTTCTGTCTTTCACGCTTCTTTTGTGAGCGCTCAAGCTTTCTTGTGACTTTTCAGAGGCCTCCCAGAGAGGGAGAGATTGGGGCCTATATTTGCCCAAGAACTGTTCTGTTAGTGTGGCCTTACTGTTCTTTAGGCTTAAGTTGTTTTGAAGGTTGGCCTGATAAGCAATTTTTTTTGCATCTAACACCGATGCTCCTATATTTGATGCAGCTAAAATTCAGCTGGGACGTGGTACGGCATTCTAGACGTTCCCAAGAATGCCTAGAAAGGTGAGGGCCAGTTGAAGAGTCTAGTGGAGAGCTACAGGAGCAATTGTACCTCTAGAAACGATACCTATGTAAAGAGAGAACGAAGGAATCGGAGATGTTTTTGTCTGAAATAAGAACAGAGGAATGCAAGTCTTCGCCTGCCTAATATGTTGCTGCAGCGTGAGAATAAATAGGGACTGAATTGTTTGTCCTCTCTGTTGTGGAGAGGACAAGTAATGGGCTTAACCAGAAAATCCCCTGCTCCAGTTTATACCCTGGAGAAAATCTTTTTCTATCGCCGGGGCAGCAAAGTACCAGAATGGATTCTCTGGGAGCACTTGCCTAGCCTTGGTCTTGTGTTGGGTGGAGGGATGACCAAACATCTCAAGGTATCTTCCAACCCTTCTCTGTGATTTGAAGTTTTAAATGATAGAACACCTTGGCTTGTGAAATAATAATTTCTAGGTCCTACACAGAGAGTTTCTCTCTCAATTCTGAATGCATGTGCGGCTCCTGTCAAGCGAAGTAGACTTTCGGAGCTACTTTGGAGTCAGTCTAACTACTGGGAAGGGTTCTCCCATACTAGTCTCTCACGGTTTTGTGGCTGCTTAAGGTGGTGGTTCAAGGTTAGACTGTTTTCTACTCGCGTGGATTCTGGAGTCAGTTTCTTTGTGCAGGATTATGACTTTTGATGCCTTTGCTTAGTCGTGTGTTATTGGACGCAAAGAGGCTTGCGCTTCAAGGGCAAATGACTTTCTTCGGCACCACACGCGTTTCAGTACGCTTCCGTCGGTGCTTTAGATGCACCATGTGGTTGTGACTAGAGTTATGTCCCAGCATGCAGACATCTGGCAAGAGTATTCCTTTTATCTCCACAACCTTAGAGTTGGGTGCTTCCTATGATGTGAGTGGACGCTATGTTCTTTCACTCCTGATCAGAAGTGTGTGGTAAGCAGCTGTTACGTTAGGAGGCATAGCTCAAATACCTTCCACGATCCTGTCTTCCAGTTTACAAACTAATGCTGCTTCAGGTGAGATACAGTAGGATACTGGATAGCACAGGATATGGCACATTATAATTACTGCTCTGGTGTAACAGTGTATCTTTAATTGTTTAACTAGAAGGAAACAATACACCCTCTCTCTCTCTCATCTCTCTTGAACAGCTATCTGGAATTCAGGAAACTTCTGTTAAGAAATGAATAGGGAGAGGAACAGGCAGGCAGCCAAATCAATGAATGTTCTTTATAGATGTGAACTTCACCTTTATGCAGCTGTTTAACTGAAGAGGAAGTCTGGAAAGATGTTTTGTCTGGAAAGAAGGTTTGTCAGTGGGAGGGAGCAGATTACCCCTGGCAAAATAAGAACTTTTAACTTGGATTAAAACTGCATTTGCAGGCACATGTGAAATAGTAGCCCAAACATCAAAACTGAAAGCAAGCGTGCAGCGGGCCGTCATCTATATCCTCAGTGCATTCGCTTGTGAGAAATGAACCTCCTCTTTGTTTCCTCTTGAAACACGAGAGCTCTTATGAGGTTTGTGTGGTTTATTTTTTTTTTTCATAGACTTGGGAAGACCCAGGTCATAAAGATGAGAATACTGGCTGCTGCGGAGATAATGATCCAATTGATGTGTGCGAAATTGGAAGCAAGGTAATGCATTCTAAAGGGTAACTGTCTTTTGAAATATGTCATTAATATCTCTGGAGTCAAGTAACTTACTGAATTCTTACTTCTGTATCTTAATGTGATGTTTCTCCTCTGTGGTGCCTCTGAAGATTATTGATGAGATCTCAAAGTATGAGCCAAGACTCATGAAAGGCTGATAAACTACAGCTAATCTCCTGGTACTGAACTGCTTGCCAGTCTCTGACAGCTTGCACAAACCTGTGTTGCGCGTTCCTTGAATGCATCGGTACGGCCCGCCAAGTCTTTTTTTCCTTGCAGGTCTGCTCTCGAGGAGAAGTCATCAAAGTGAAGGTGCTGGGCACGCTGGCCCTGATTGATGAGGGAGAGACTGACTGGAAGATAATTGCTATCAATATTGAAGACCCTGAAGCAGACAACTATAACGGTAAGGAACAGGAGGGAGTTTCAGGTCAGGATGTTGACTTGCTCCTGCAATGTCACAGAATCGGTGTACTCATCGAATGTGGCACTGGCCAGGGCAGCAGAACAGGGCGCTCTCATCCTCTAGCACAACAGTATCCTACTGTTTAGCACTAATTATCAGTCCTTTGCACAGCCTGATAGTGAAGAAAAGGATGGCTGTTCGGCCTGACCTCTGAATGGAAGGAAAAGGCTTGTCTGCTAAATCTCTAACCGAAGCTGTTTAAATGTTCTGAGCGTTTGGGGGAAGCCGGGATTTAATCTGAAGATGAAACACCAACTTCTCTGTCCTTTAGCAGGTACTCACCTTGTGGCTTTACTGTAACCTGTCCTGAAGACTGCAAGGCTACTTGAATATAGTGGAAGAGGGGCAACTCAAAAGAGCAGGGTTGATAACTTAACTGACTTCTGCAATTGCTATCTGGCTAACAAACCTTTTTCCCTGGCTAGATATCAGTGATGTCAGAAGGATGAAACCTGGATACTTAGAAGCTACAGTGGACTGGTTCAGAAGATACAAAGTACCTGATGGAAAGCCAGAAAACCAGTTCGCTTTTAATGGCGAATTTAAAGGCAAGGTAAGGACGACGTTCTTCTTTACTGTGAATCTGCAAAGGCACACTGCCCAAAAAGTAAGCTCTAGATGCGTGGGGACATGGATGATGAGTTGCTGAGACACTGGATTTCTGCAGGGCTGGTGATAGCTGGCTTAGTTCTTTCTGGTATTTTTTCAGCCTACCTGTTCAGCTCGTTTCCGAGGCTGGTGCTAGCAGAAACGCTAAGAGCAAAAGCGTGGTGTTATCGCACCACTGCTGTTGGATACTACCAGTTTTGCCACTAGATTCCATCCATGTGGGGTCACTTGAGGGCCAGGAGTCTCAGTCCTAGAACCAGAATGGAAAACCCCAGGTTTCTGTGCTGTTCCTGCTGTGGTGCAAAGGGTGCTTGACTTCACTCT